CGTTCGCATGCCATAAACGAAGCATCGATCGTGCCCTTGATATAAGGAATCGTTTCGCCGCCCACCCGATTTATCATTCATCCCTCGAATTCAACCGCCGAGGGGGAAAAAATGAAAAATGGACACTCACCAACACGTAGACGGCGAACGGCATTACGAGCACGGCGACGAGCAGATCGGCGACGGCCAGGCTCACGATGAAGTAATTGGTGACCGTTTGCAAGGCCCTCTCTCGAACCACGGCCAGTATAACCAACACGTTGCCGAACAAGGTCAAACAGGGGACGATGACGAGGATCAGGGCCCACCAACTGTTGGCGTCCGTCTTTTCGTCAACGTCCGCCGCCGGCCCGCACTCACCCGCACTCACCACACCGGAAGACGCGATGGACGAGGTGCAGTTCACGGTTCCGTTCAGGTTCAGGTTGGCCCCGCCGTCGTAATAGGCCGTCAGATTAACGAATGCGCTGTAATTCAGTCGATTGATGTAATCGTTCAGATCGTCGAACACGAACAGGTCCGATATCCCCGTGTAATTCTCGGATCCAAGGGACGTGGGCGAGACGGACGAGAAGAAGGAGGAGGACGCAGCGCCGGGGTAGGAGGGCGAGGTGGAGGTTATCGCGGCGGCCGAGTCGTTGAACCAGCCTAACTCGACACCGCCGCTTCCCGAGAACAGGTCGTTCAACGAGGAGGTGTCCTCCTCGTGGACGGCGTTGGTCGCGTTTCCCGCGAGGGAGAGCTCGGCCGTTCCAGCCCGCCGATCCAACGACAGGCTCCTCGCGATCGAACCGAGCAGAGACCGGTCGCCCGTATTCGTCCCCATTTCGGACCAAACTAAACTTCTGCACCCCCGATCCTGTCCAACCTGTCGATCTCTTGATCACGAGATCTTGGAACGAAGGGATGGCTGTTCGATCTTGCCAAGCATGGCTGACTTTACCCCGCCTGACTCTTAACGGTCAGGTAGATTCTTATGTGTGCTGCGGTGTGGCGCCCCTCCTCGAGAGATAACATTTCCTCGCGCACGCGAGGAGAAACGAGGTGCCGCGTCCTGACTGGCCTCTCACCAATCACCACGACCACCCCGATACGCTTGGTGGCGTATCATTGAAATCCCTCGTCGAGCGTCCCTGGAAAAAGAAGGGAGGAAAATAAGTTTGCTGCGCTTTGTGTAAACGATTTCTTTGTCTTTCTTCTTTTTCTTTTTCTTTTTTTCTTTTTCTTTTTTCTTTTTTCTTAAGATCATATCTATCTTCGTAAAATAAATAGAGGTCGCCCCGTGGATAACTCGATTCGTTTCGCGCTCGAGTTTCTAATCGCTAATTCTATTTCTTTGCCGTAAAAAACGGTGACGCGGAAATGAAGAGGTTGGAGGTTAAGGGAATTTAATTAAATGCAATCGTGGACGGTAACTAACGCGATGTAATGAGTTTCGAAGGATCTGGTTGGAACTGAATGGTTCAGATTAAATATTAAAGTAGCGGCCAGATAGCTGTTACGCGGAGATGAGGGAAGGAAGAGGTTCGAGTTCGAAGAGGAACGGAACGAGCTTGGATCGAGCGAGCAATCTCTCTCTCTGCAAGATTTTTATTTACGAAGAATGATACGGATATAGATTCTGAATTGATTTCAACGAAGAGATAGTTCTGTATAGTACGTAATACGTTTCCCCATAAATTTACCCGCGATATATAATAATTGTGAAATAAAACGAAGGGAAAAGATCGATATTGATACGAAGATAGATATTTTTCTCGAAAAAGAAATCTATCAAATTATATTTTCTTCTGAATACAAAAATATCGAATTGATTAGAATTGTCTAACCGATACTTGAATAAAATGACAATTCTTCGCAAATCAAACTAAACGAAGACGACCACGCTCCGCGTGTTTAAACACAATGAAAAAAAAGAAAATTGTTAGAATTGAATTACGAGGAACCATCTCTGGGGTGAGGGGGACTCTAAACGATCCTCTTAAAACGATTCTACGAAAGACGATCAGCAGCAGTTGGCTCGTTCGAGAACGAGTGTCGCGGCGCAATCTCTGAATTAAAGGAAAACTTCTCTACTCGAGTTTTTACGAAGTGGAGCGATTTTCTTTTGGAAGGAATCGAAGCCACCCACTTTTTGAGGGGAGGATTGACAGATGGAGGGGCGTTATGGAGTTTCTCTTGGCTTCCAGCGCGAGAAGAAGGGGTGGCAGAAGAGGGATCTTTGCCCGCTTGAGCGGGGCATTCCTCCGTGGAGGAAGACCCTTTTTTTTTTTTTTCTTCACAAAGACAGAAATCATTTCCTTGTCCCTCAGGACCCTCCATTTTCTCTCCGCTCTACATATACTTAGCGAGTGAGACTCTCGAGTGATATCGCTGGATTTCGAGCTGTAAATTTCTCAAAGAGGAAATATTTCTGAGGTGATATATATGTATATCAAGAGAGAGCTAATACGGGTGTACATTAAGCTTTCCTCTCTATATTCTCGTTGTCGTTTAGACTCTTTAAGGAAACAGAGAGTTTTATTGTTATTTGTCAGTGTTCGTTGTTTAACGATGCACGATAAAGGGAAAATGTTTTTTCGACGGGTAACTTGGTTTTGCGTGAAATTTTGCATTTATGAAATTTTGGAATTTCAAAGTGCAGAGAGGAATCGAGCTTTCGAAAATATTTTGCGTTGAATAAATGCATATTATATTAGTAGGGGATACGTAGAAATTCGCTATGCGAAATAGTGGCGTAAAAACATTTGCATGATCTGAAAAATCTAGTTTATCTTAGTGTCATAAATAATTCAAATTTTTCGAAATTTCGTGCAAATTTTTGTACGAAAGAACGGCGGAAAGATATTTGGAAAATCTTTTTTCGTGACTTTTAATTGAAAAAATTCGATGATAAATTGATCGAGAAATTTCATTAAAAAAAAAAAAAAAAAAAAAGTACACGTCAAAATTCATGTCAAACACGAAATTTTCTATAAACCAATCTTTTCTTAGAAATCTCTTCTCGATTTCAATGTTTCCAGTGATCCATTTCACGACGAACAATTAAATTTTAACAGTTAATGAAGGAACAATATGCATTTACTTCGAATGCCATCCTTTCGTCGACAATAAGACGATATCTGAATATGTAAATATGTAAAACAACAAGTTACAATCCTGAGGCAAGTATGACAGAAAGGGGAAATTTCATTCCCAATGATAACCGACATTTTCCATTCTCGTCTTCTCATCCACTTCCCCCTCCTCTTTTGTTTCCTTTTTTACCATTCTTTTTCGCGTTGTCCATACAATTATTTCTTATTACTCCACGGTCGCGTATAAATCGGGCACGGTTGGCTTTTTCAACTTGCTGGACGCGACACAATTCAAATTTATCCGATGCATCGAGTTAAAATTTCATGCGCAGGCATGACAATGGTTAAATATTTCGATATGGTCGAGTGTATCGTGCAATTTATTCGAAAATGGAACGACGATTGTTTAACGCATACCACGATGGAATATTAATTCGTTCCCAAGCATTAAATTGTATCGCAGTGTTGTGCAAAAAATTACACCCCGCTTCTCGGCTCTTTTCCATTAGAATGAAGTGCATCTATAAAATCCGATTATTCGAAGTTATTTATTGAAAACAGTGAGTGAGAGAGAGAAAGAGAGAGATACGTGTGTGTGTGTGTGTGCACAAATAGTTTGCAGGTTCGAAGGGACAATGGTAAGATTGCGAGGCGAGGTATCGAATCAGCCTGAGTGTTTTTTCTTTTCCAACTCTTTTTTTTTTTTCCAATTTCAATTCACGATAGACTATTATTATTAACAATTCTTCGCTTATGAATAATAATTTCAGAAATATTAAACGCCACTTTCTTTGTTATGTTATGCTAATATGCTAATATGATATCCTCATCAGGGATTAATTCAGAAATTCGAATCACGAGATTTCGCGTCCATCCGAAAAGGATAATCAGATTTAGATCTGGGTTAATTAATAGCTGTCAAAGCCCCGCTATTTTGTTTCCTTTTAATAAATTTTGTGAAAAAAAAAAAAAAAATTTCGAATTACATATACACGTTTACATCGTGTAAAAATTGCATAAAACCGAATGAAAGGGAACGGATAATAAAAATTCAAAAAGTGCAAGTTTAGTTATTATTGTTGTATGATTTCACGCAACAACAATCGTTGCCACGAATACGAGAAATATAAAACGGAGGAAAATATTTTTATGCTCCACTCTCTTAGCCCGATATAAAAAGGGGAAGGAAAAATCCGGGGAGAATAGCGTTATTCGTAGCAAATAAATTTACGCGAAGAATTATTCGCTTCGACGTTGATAACAAACGTCGGGTCATTTACCATTTTTTTTTTACCATTTTTTTTCTCTATACTTTTGCGTAAAAAAAGAAAAAAACAATATTACGCCAATAAATTAATCTTAAACGAAAGAATTTCATAAATCAACCTACATTTATTCGCGATAATATCCGTACTCGTACGTAACTTTTGAAACGTGGAATAAATAGAAAATGTTCCGATGGTTTTTATCCAAACGTTTCTACATTTTTTTTTTTTTTTTTTTGTATGAAATTTTTGCGGTCATATTAATCGAACGAATACGCGGTCTAAAAATAAATTTAGACTTAAACGTTGCAACGAATACCGCAGTAATGATATCACGGTTAAATTTTTAAATAAAAGATCGACCATACTTCCCGAAGAGTTTAAACGAGTAAGCAAATGCTCTTCGCTCTGCGTTATTTGTGAACACACATCCCTTACTCGTATGTTTCGTTGATTATTAAGAAAAGAAAAATTATTTTGAAAACAAAAACGAATGCTCGAAAATTGCTCTCGAAGGAGAAATTTACGATTGATGACGAAAAGGAAACGTTTCCAAGATACGATATACGCGATCTCTTATAGGCTGGATGGCTTTTCTATCTTGTAAGAAATGAAATTCTTAGCGACGTCTAAGATTGATTGTTCTTACGGTTTACTTGCGCGAAAGAGTACGCGCAAGTACGATGCAAGTACGCTCGGGGAGGGGAAAAAGATGATCCTCGAACCTGGTAACCTCGACTTAGATTAATTAGAGAAATGATGTTATAATTAATTACCCGCAATTGACAAGAAACGAAGACGCTCCTCCTATCCTGTCCTCGAGTAAGTAGAGACGAATTTCTTGTATCTGAGAAATTCTATTGTATTGTTCCCTCGATACGATATATCTTTAGATATTTAACGGATATTTTATCTTAATGAAAATATGTCGTTTCTTTTTAACGTTACAAAGATCTTTTTTGAAATTAATAGAGACTGATAGATCACGAGATGATACGACAGATACGAAGCCTGAATTGAAATGTAAAATTTCATTTTGAAGGATTTTTTTTTTGTTAATTTAACTGAAAGGAAAATTACAAAAATTTTCTAAATTATGGGAAATACGTATTGCAATAGGTTAAATTTAAAAACAATTTAAAAAAATGAAAAATAGTCTAATCGGTTTGTAAC